AGGAAGATCCGAAAGAGGAACCCGTAGAGGTTCCCGAGGAAGATCGCGAAGAGGAACCCAACGAGGAGGAACCCGAAGATGAGGAACCCAAAGAAGAAGATGAGGAAGCAGATGATGAAGGCACTGACTCAGAACCCGAGGTCTACGATCCTCCCCAGGTAGTACCAAATCTCCGGTGGGACTTTCAGATCCCGACGCCCCTCTGGGTTGTGGATCTGAAATGATGGAGCAGGGAACAAGGACAATGTCCACCCTACGACATGGGACAAGGCTTTTATGACCTCCGTAGCGGGGGTTCGACTGACAGAGAACTCCCTTTCATGGTTCGTCGCATCGCTAACCAAGGTGAGCAAACAAGGGTAAACGCCAACCAAATCTTAGACATTGGTGCCACTGCGCAGATCACGGTAGTACGTCTGTGTCGACTAGACGAAGAACATGATCGAACCATAGAGCACACCATTTCCCTCTAGAAAGACATTACCGCTGCAAGAGATGAGGTTAGGGAGTTTTGGAAAAACCAAGCCGCAATGGAGAGGCGCGTCATCGAGGCTGAACGTTAAGTAGCTCGAGCTCGGACTTCCACGACAACATATCATGGTCCGCAGCGTACCACCCGTTCGGAGTAGAGCGCGTACTTCTTGCGCTATGTTTATACTTATCGAGTGAGTGTTGGGGACACTCTTTCCTTTATGTATGTAAACCCGTCAAATTGTGAGTACACAATTCGAAGGTCTGAATGCAGTCAAATTTTCCCATTTTCATTGATGTACTCTAGACCCGTGTTAAGGTCAAATTTTCCTGATCGATGTATCAAATATTAATACCAATGAGATTGACACGCATTTATTATTTCATTGGGTATTTCATTTAATTCTTAAAATACTAAGGAAATCATGCGCTTATTTTTTTAAGTTTCCATTTCACAATTAACTTACAATTTCGGCAATGTTCGGAACATAAAGCATATAATACTAAAAATTTCCATAATCATTTCTGAAGGCTTATCAAGAATTCATCTTTTAACTTATGGCAGAATCATGCCACCAAGAAGAAATCCACGACGCTGCGATACTACAGGAACACCAACACCACCACCCCCATCAATGGACAATGCTATTTTCCAGGCAGCCGTAACAGCTGTTGTCACAGCAGCAATGGCATAAATGAGTAACAATGGATCAGGAGGAAGAATAAATAGCTCTACCAATGGTCAACATTAGGTTCGTTTCGGGGAATACACTTATAAGGACTTCACCAACAGCAAATCCATATCCTTTAATGGTACTGGAGGAGTCATGGCTCTATCCCAATGGATAGAGAAAACGGAAGTAGTATTCAAGATCTGCTCATGCCAAGAAGGGAGCAAAGTAAAATTTGTTGCCTGCACTTTCTCCGAACGAGCCCTAATGTGGTGGAATGGCCACGTCAAGTCACTAACTCTGGTAGTGGCTAACTCCATGGGATGGGAAAACCTGAAACAAATACTCATGCAAGAGTACTGCCCGAGAGGCGAAGTACGGAAGCTCGAGCAAGAGCTTTGGGGCCTGACTATGGTAGGCTCGGACATCACGACCTATACCAATAGGTTCATTGAGTTAACAATGCTTTTCCCGGGAATGGTTGCTCTAGAGAGCAAGAAGATCGGGAGATATATATGGGGACTGTCACCCCAGATTCGAGGAAGTGTACTCGCTTCCAAGCCAGTTACGTTCGACAGTGCCAAACAGCTGATACAATCCCTCGTTGACCATGGCGTCTGCCAATGATTCATGACCTCTCTTCCGAAGCAACCCATATAAAGCAACAAAAACAACAACAATACCAACAACAACAACACGAAGAAGTTTTGGAACAAAAGAAAGGGTCAATCTTCACAAGAACCTTCCAAGAAACAACAGGTAGTGGCAGTCCATGCCGATACTACTCCCACCACTATTCCTGTTACCCCTTCACCAGCAAAGCAATACCCAAGTGCAGCAAATGCAATTTCCATCACAATGGGAATTGTCGGGTGATGTACTGTAATAACTGCAACAGGAAAGGGCACACTGCCCATTTTTGTAAGGCACTGACACAACCAATCACCTAAGTTCCTGGAGTCGGTGTGGGCCAGGCGTGTTACGGGTGTGGTGAAGCTGGGCACTACAAGAGAGATTACCCTAAATCAAGGAATGCTGGAGGCACAGGAAAGGTGCTGGCAATAGGTTAGAACGAAGCAATATATGATCCCATGGTGGTTACGGTTATGTTTCTCCTCAATAGCATATATACATGCATACTCTTTTATTGTAGTGCGGAGAGGAGTTTCATGAGCCATGAATTCAAACATTTACTTAAACTAAACCCCCAACCACTTAATAAGATATTTACAGTAGAAATGGCCAACGATAAAACAGAAAGAACAAACGATATGTACATAGGTTGCATGCTAGATTTAAATGAACACTCGTTCTAAATTGATCTAATGTCGATCACTATAAGAAGTTTTGAAGTCATCATCGGTATAGATTGGTTAAGCCACAACCATGCCGATATACTTTGTCACGAAATGGCCGTTCGCCTTAATCTACCAAATGACGAAACTCTTATCATTTATGGTAATAAAATCAGTACAAGTTTACAAATCATCTCTTGCGTCAAATCCCAAAAATA